ACTTGGGAACTCATTGCTGAATGGCTCAGAGCTTGACAAGGCCGTAGTCCAGCAAAAGAGGGAAATCCTCTTGATCTTGGATAATTGCTCGGCGCATCACATGAACCGCAGCTGAATGCTGTCACTTTGATGTTCCTCCCTCCGAACACCACCGCCAAGCTCCAACCGCTCGACATGGGTATCGTCGGGAATTTCAGAGGTTGCTACTGCCGCCGCGTCATCGAAAGGCTGCTCACCGCAATTGCCCAATTGAGTGCACAAGGGCCTCAGCTGACGATCTCCCTCATGAACGCGGTGGAAATGCTGAAGGACTTGTGGATGGAGATAAGGGCTGGGGGCATCAAGAAGTGCTATCAGAAAGCTGGGATATCGTTTTCTCCCGCGAAAGTCAGCCAAGACCCAAGCCGCTGCAGCCAGCCTGACAGAGGAGGGCCAGACCTGGGACAACATTGTTGACGCCGATGAAGATGAGGTCGTCTCGGAGAACGCCTCTTTGAAGCTATCGTGCGGGAGGTGCGGCCGACCGTCCAGGTCGTCGCGGCATCCGACGTCAGCAGCTTTCGAGCACATAGCTTCGTTGAAGCTGCTGGCCTATGGACGGGGACTGCACAATGTGTACGTTGATCAGCTGAACGACCTGGAGAGCGCTATCATCAAGTCTGGACAATTATAACAGGCCGCAATTACGGACTTCCTTCAAGAAATGCTGTGCGCGACGATCGCGGGTGTCGCGCTTTGAATCTGTGCTGTGGTTACTTATTTATCATTAATTTTAAAGGTACATCCAATTATAACGAACTTCTGTTATAGCAAACGCGTTTTGTGTCGTGGAAGGGTTCAAACGCGTTTTGTGTCGTGGAAGGGTTCGTGCTAAGTGGGATCAACTGTATTCTCTAGATGCTGGTAGACGTAGATATGGCATTTTTCGAATTCAAATGTTTTTGAAAACTTGTTTTTTCTGGGTAGTGCCCCCCTTAAAGGAGCCCTGCAATCATATTTAAGCGTCTACCTTTTTTGCGGTTTCCACGTCTCTTGGGGTTCGGGCAAAGCCAGCGGGCACGGAGAGAGTAACGAAATATCAGTGCGTCATATTTTCACCGGACGACGCGGAAGCCTCCTCCAACGACGAGGGCGACCCACGGTACTGAAAGCGCGCAAAATGTGACGTCTTTGGTCCTGGGCTTACTACTGGTCAGAGCCACTAAAAGCTTCTTTTTAGTCGAAATACAAAATATAAGTAGCGCGAACCGTTCTAATTATTTATAAAAGTTGTTTTTGTTCTGTGTTTTAGATCAAAAAAAGAAACGAATGCAGTTCATAAAGTATGGAAACAAGAAATGACCCGTCGACATACCCGCCACCAAGCGGTGGAAAAGGCGGCGCATACTAGAAAAGAGTAGTGGAATCAGACGCCGACACGGAAAGGTCCCGGATGTACGCGGCGGCGCTGCGGTCATATGGGCAGGAGGATCCAACCGGCTCCGAGCTTTCCGAAGGCCTTCGTCGAGAAGCTTTGTCTTGCGGTTTGGCCGTTTCGCGGTATGGCAGCGCAAAGTGGCTCCCATTCTGAACTGATCTTTACCCCGTGTTTGCTGTCGTTTGTGGCCAAAGAAGCGTCATGCCGAATTAGTGTTTAATCGCGCAGCAAATGCAATGAGAGCCGCTCTGGCTGCCCGCTGCATACAGCCTATCCAGAACACGCTTTGATGGCGCCCTCTCGCGCCGTCGACACGGAGTGCAGCAGCCGTGAGCGTTCGATGAGCTCACTACTTCTCCTCTAGGTCACGGCCACTCGCAAGCAACCAAGGACATCATGAGGGAGGTTATTTTTTGTTTGTGTTTGTAATTTTAATTTGCCTATAACTTTTAGAATAAAGGGAATTTCGAGGCCAGATTCACGAAGAGCTTCTTAGTTTACGACAACTTAGCTAAGAAGTTCGTAAGTTAAGAACATTGTAAGAGGAGGAGAAATCGGTATTCACGAACGCGTTCTTAAGTGAGAGGAGGAAAGCGACGTTGTCGTACGGAAAAACTAAAACTTACCGGTGCTGTTGCTATGGCGACGGCGTCTTCGGCAGCACGAACAACCAATCGGAGAGCTCGGCATTTGTTCGGAGCCGTTCGGAGCACGTGGATTTTTCATAACAAACACAAGCGGCCTTTCTGTCACCGCTGGTCTGGGGTTCGTATCCGTGCAGTGATATGTCGACGCTAACACGATTTAAACTCGCCGGAATGCCGAGGCCGGGATGCGTAACCATCCCCATTGACTGCTACGAACTCGATCGCTACCAAGTCAACAAAACTGTCATCGTTGGTAAAAAACGGCCCGCAGTCGTTTGCAGAGCGACGTAGATGGGAACAAATTGCCGCGGCGTTTTTTGCGGCCTCGGAGATGCAGGAGCGAGCCGACGTTAAAAAAGATACGTTTGAACTATGACAGTGTAAGCAAGAACCACGTAAATGCCTGTTCACACTACGGAACGGACGCGCGCGTTTGATTGAAGTGCTGGATTTGCGCTGTTGGACCGTGAATTGATAAGCGCTTCGGGACCGACCCTTTACAATTGCAACTCGATGCTGACGTGACACCCGGCGAAGAAAGGTTGGACCGGCATTGCGACCCACGAACTGTTACAGCGATCGACTGTGAGGTGCAGTCGTGTCAGAATAAAATCGAATACTAATAACAAAGTGTACATACCATGTTGCGAAGATAATCCATACGGCGTTTATTTGAGCTTGATATCACACAAAACAGAGATAGAATCGATGAGAGCCCCTTTTCGACGACAGCGTTCGTCACCGTTGCCTCGGAAAACGAGGAGATGACAAGAGGAAGAGATTGACCTCTTAATCTAGAATTGAGGTCAGCGATCAAACTATATACGGGAAGGGTTCACAAGGGTCGCGCGGGCATATTCCATTCAGCACGCCAGCCAATCGTGGGCAGACGGTCTTCGCCAAGGACCGTCAGATCATCGCTGCGCCGAGTCGGAGTGCCTGCTAGGCCTATCTGCCGATCGGTCGGAGTCCGTACTCGTGGCCCTTGGAGTTTTTCCCGGGTGTCTGTGGATCCAGCGTTCTTGTTCGTTCGTCGTGGTCTGTTTCAAGTACTTTTTACTTGTTGCTTGCTGCTTGAAGTCGGGACGCGTGAGAAGCGCACGTAGAAAAATAAACATCCGTTGGTTGTCGCGACCAACTGAGCGACGCTGTCGGCCATGCTGATTTGATCGTAAGAAGTGCGTAAGACAGCTTCGGAGCTGTCGTAGGATTTCGTCGTAACCTGCGCAAAACTTACGAAAATTTCGTTTCGTGAATACGGATTTGTTCTTAAGTTTTGTCTTACGCACATTTTTGGCGTAAGATCGTTTCGTGAATCTGGCCTCTGATCTTTACCCCGTGTTTGCTGTCGTTTGTGGCCAAAGAAGCGTCATGCCGAATTAGTGTTTAATCGCGCAGCAAATGCAATGAGAGCCGCTCTGGCTGCCCGCTGCATACAGCCTATCCAGAACACGCTTTGATGGCGCCCTCTCGCGCCGTCGACACGGAGTGCAGCAGCCGTGAGCGTTCGATGAGCTCACTACTTCTCCTCTAGGTCACGGCCACTCGCAAGCAACCAAGGATGTCATGAGGGAGGTTATTTTTTGTTTGTGTTTGTAATTTTAATTTGCCTATAACTTTTAGAATAAAGGGAATTTCGAGAAAAGTTTTACTAAGTTACTACGTTGAGTGCGCTCAGGTTTAATGCAAATTAAAAATTAGTAAAAAAGTCATTGCAGGGCCCCTTTAAACTAATAAAGCAACTATACCAGAAGCCAGCGAAATAACGCATGAAACGAGGGTATGCGCACTACGCTAGGCCTAGTATCTGAGAAGTTGTGACCCCAAAAGGCCAATTTTTCGGCAATAAACTAGGTTTTGACATCTTGCACTTTTGGACACTCACTAATAATGAACAGTGTTGCAAAGTTATGAGGTTCACCGAGCCATCCCGGGTCCTCCCCCACATAACAGTCATTCCTACCATGCCCATACAAAGCAGTGAAGCTCCAAGCGCACATCTCTGCAAGACTATGAAACTTGACAAGTGTGCAGTGCACAATTTCGAATTCCCAGGGGAATGAAGCTAGTAGAACCAGGAAAAGCAAGCATAACAGAAGTGCACATGTGTGTCTGAAGAAGAGATGGGAAGCAGAGAGGGGGAAAAGAGGGAGAGCAGAACAAGAGGAAGAAAGCGACGCAACACAACGCGTCTGCCACAGTGAGCGGAAGTTTTCGAACAAAGAAGCGGAAAGGCAAAAGCGGTAAACTGGAAATTAATACACATGCCATAAAACATATCGAGCGTGAGCTGACAAGCCACTTTTGAAATGTTCGAAAATTAAGCGAAGGACATACAGAGCAACCTACCCCAGACTTCTGGGCTAACCTAGGTCGTCGAGATGCCCCTCCTTGTCAGCCCCTTCTCTAAGCGCCCCTGTGGAAGTGACAAAGCCCACACTACAACATGCCTCCTCCGCATTTTTCAGGGTGTCTATCAAATTATTCTTTTGAAATTCCCTGACTTTTCCAGGTTTTCCCTGATAATTTCAGGTGAAATTCCCTGACCACTGTAGAGGTGGTTAAGTATATAAGACCATTACAACACAAGGCATTGAGCACAGTGAGGATCATTTTGCAGGCGCGAAGGGTTAAAGGCTCCAGTAGTGCGGTACGCAGAGCACGGCAATTTCACGCCCGACATTAAAGCATTTCACGCTTTGAAAGGGGAGAAAGCAACACCTCCGCCAGTTGCCGATGAGAGCAGCACATGCTCGCTCGAAGCTCGCAAGATGCCCAAGCGTTATCGAAGGTAATAAACTCGTGCTGCAAACCAACCAAAGCATTTCTCTGCCGTCCTCATCCCAACAATGAGCGCGTAATTTATCGGGCGACGTCGAAGACGCGGCACCATGGCCTCGTTACATACGAGGCGTTGCCTCGATCCTGCCACCCACCTGTGAGGAAGGTCCCCCGGTAGCTGGGCCTCTGGGACCCCGATGCCGTGGTCGGGGGAAGGCCCCTGGAGGCGGCCGTGGACGGGTGGGGACGGTGATCTCCACCCGGGGTGGGTCCCCCTTCCCCCCCGACCACCCCCAGGGTGGTGGCCGGGGCACCGTCCGACACCCCGGCACCCTGGGGCGCTGCCTGCTGCTGGCTGCCGCTGCTGCGACTGCCTCCCTGCGCAGGAATTACGAAGAAGTCGTGAAAATATGCACGCGGACGGGAGGAGCTTGAGGCTGCCCCGACAGGTGGCGCCCGTGCCTTCTCGTCGTAAGCGATTATGAGGAAACGTGGTGCGCTCCGTTTATCGCACTCAAGAGCAAATTTGTATACTAACCTAGAGTTTTGGACAAAAACAGCGAGTCATTGGCTCAGTGCATTAAGATACGGTGAAATGCAAAGGTTTTCTCGCCGGTGCCTCGGCAGAACTAGGGAACGCTACCGTAAGAGTCTGTGCATAGACTATTCTATTTGTTACTTTGGCGGGCGAGTATTTTTAACGGGTCTCGGCACTTGCACAATATAAGAAAACACGACACTCATACGGAACGAGCAATTTTATGAAATGTTACGATGCAAACAATAGCCTCACACTTTCTAGAAATAGTTTTTTTGCAAACCAAAAACTTGCAGGATCCTAGCCGCCGCCACCGCCAATGACGACAATGTCCCCAATGCAGAGCGTTGTGGCCCCTTGCAGGGGACGCACAAAAGAGCCCCCGTCTCGAACAGAGTTCCACAACCGAGTGAGCTGACCTAATAGCGTCGCTTCAACCCACCCTAGGTCACAGAACACCCATACTTGAGAGAGAACCGCGATGGCGCTACAGCACAGTGCCTCGAACGCTTCTTTGACCGGTGCATACGCCGCAACCCATCCGTCCTTCCTCGATTTCCACACAACGGCGCCACTTTCGATGTACAGGTGGAAGGGGACGCCAAACGGACCCATCGAAGACCCGTTCCAGACACCGTAGCCACACCAACGCAAATGTGGCGCCTGTCCCGAGGGGACGGGTGCGAAGGGTTTAGGGGAACGGGGCTTTTTCCAGATGCGTACTCACAAACTTGAGCATGTTCCAGTCGAAGACGTAGTCGTAGGTGAAGCCCTGCCTATGGAAGAGGTTGCGTAGCAGCTGCCTCAGGTAGGAGTAGTCGGGCTTCTCGTCAAAGCGCATCGACCGGCAGTAGTTCAGGTAGGTGGCAAACTCCGCTGCACAAAACAGCCGGGTCAGCAGAGTTAACCCTCCGCAAGGGCAGGAAGACTGCCCAATGTGCTCAAAAAAATGTGCGTGTTGCAAGGCTGAGCCAGCAGGCTGAAGTTTGTGGTTCGTGTTTAATTGCTGCGGCCTCTCCGTGTTGGTGTTGTCACGAGCTACAATTAAGTGCGTACACCTGAGAAAACCTGAAAGGGCTTTCGATATGACATTAATTACATAAATGAGCAAGTCTTAAAAAAGTAGGGCTGTGTTTACAACATCATATCAAAGCACTTTAATCATTTTAGCGATACGTTCCCTGCCAATTTCAAGAAAACGAAGGAGCCTACAACTGTCACAAATGGTCATTATAAACAGCTGGGACAAGTCTCGCGTTTTCCCAGATTATAATTAATGCACCGTAATATCCACCATTTTTGGCTTGATTTGCTATATTTTTTACCGAAAGGAGACCCACTCCTAGTAATTGTATAGTGTTTCGATGAATGACGACCTCGGCTCAAATGCGGCTAGTTAGTTACGGCGTGATGTAAGCCGACATTACTGATTGGGAAGCAATTATATATCTTTGCCTCAATGCACCTTGCCACGATAACGTTTGCCAGGGACACATGATCTAAAAATGACATTTTGTTTTCTCTCCAGCTTTTCTTGATTGCACATCAAAAGCTAGCCCACTCTTTATTTTCACCCGATTCGCTCTGGATTTTAGGTGGGCTATCTTGGGATATTACGGTAAGCAGAGCCAAACCATCTATTGACGCAAGGCCGGGTCAAATGTGACCCCTACTTTCCTAGTCCGTTTAGTACAGCAGAACCTCGCCACAGTAACTTCAGTTACTCAGAAAACATTTTCATTATGTCAGTACCTGAAATTGCCACTAGCAGTCTTACAGCCATACTCCGGACTATCGGTCTTCACTGTACTTCTGCATTGCAAACCTTTGCTATATGAGTTAGGTCCTCCTGTACTGTAAATCTTAACTAGTATATTAGATTTTACACTGAGACACTCTGCCGGGTAGATGTTCTAATGCACCGCCTTTAAATGAGGAGGTCTTACTCTATTCTAAATATTTAGTGCCTCACAATCTACTCCGGGGGAATATTCGGGGTCATGTAAGTACTGCCTCTGTCTTTGCTGTAGAAAGGTTCCACCATACTGTTTTTACTCTACAGAAAGGCAGTATTGTGAGGTACTGTCTTTGCAACGGAGGCTCTTGGGACAGCCCAGAGGTTCCCAGAGAGAATGGCGCGAGAGCTTCTGCCTGGACAAGAAGGGCCTTGAATTATAGTCTGTTGCAACTCAAGAAGGTAAGCCGAGGGTAAGACAGGCCGGGCAGGAGGAAGAAGAGAAAAGGAGGTTTCCCCCTCTCTTCTCCAGCGTTCCGTCAACTTCCTCCTACCCGGCCCGTCTTACACTCGCCCTACCTTCTCGAGTTGCAACGGACTACAGGCACGAGAGCTGCGGCAGCATCTGGTCTCCTGTCCTCACCGACAGAACTCAGCACTATACCCCATCCATGTTGGCAGCCAGCATGAGACGCAGAAAATCCAGCACTAAGACCTCGCTGCTCCAAGGGACCACTCACAGGGGAAGCTGCGGCAGAGCTCCTCGATGGGGGTGGACATCTTCTTCTCGCTGATGCGCTCATACTTCTGGCGCTTGGTGGCCGCCCGCAGGCCCTGCCAGGGCAGGCTGCCCCGGTTGAAGTACATCAGGACGTAGCCGAGGGACTCGAGGTCGTCCCGACGGCTCTGCTCGATGCCCAGGTGCGTGTTGATCGAGGCGTAGCGAGCCGTGCCCGTCAGGTTTTTGTTCTCCCGGTACGGGATGTGGTTGTGCGTCCGAGAGTCCCGGTACTTCTTGGCCAGCCCAAAGTCGATGATGTACACCAGGTTGCCCTTCTTGCCCAGGCCCATGAGGAAGTTGTCCGGCTTGATGTCCCGGTGGATGAAGTTCTTTGAGTGGATGTACTCGACCCGCGAGACCAGCTGGTCCGCCAGCAGCAGGACTGTCTTGAGGGAGAACTTGCGGTTGCAGAAGTTGAACAGGTCCTCCAGGGAGGGCCCCAGCAACTCCATCACCATGACGTTGTAGTCCCCCTCCGAACCGCACCACTTGATCAGCGGGATGCCCACCCCGCCCTGCATCATCTTGTAGAACTTGGACTCGATGTGCAGCTGCGGGTGCTTCGTCTTGATGCACTCCAGCTTGATTGCCACCTCCTCGCCCGTTGTGATGTTGGTCCCTGCACAGCGTTCCCCACCCACTTTAGCACTTCATTTCAACCGTGCTGATTGTCGAGAAGTGTTTGCCATTGAAACAAAAGGATCCATATTCTCTTTGTGTGAAAGCTTGCAGGCCAGAATGCCTACCGTAAGATACCGTAAAAGTGCCAACTTCGCTCAAGCGCCCACTATTAACATTTCCTAAACTTGGGACTACTATTAACATTTCCTAAACTTGGGAATACTTGAAATGATATGTTAAGTGCCTGATTTGACCGGACAAGCGCCCATGCCTAGATTAACCCAGTTTTTAGTGAAAGTGGGGTGGGTGCTCCCCCGGTATTTTACAATTTTAAAGTAGACCAGCAATTTAAAAAAAAAAATTGGTTTTGGGTTTTGTAAGTTTTAGACCGAAACTCTGTGAAATGCGTGGGCATGCTGCAATAATCCCCTGTTAAAACAAAGATATATATATATATATATATATAGTAAGGGGGGCAAATTTTTGTTTAGAGCAATAATCGAGACTCGAACTACTTTCACCCTATCCGAGTCCAAAGCAGTCCAGCTGTGTGTAAGGTAGCACAAGACTACCAAACCGCAAACTGTCTTTCGATTTAAAACTCTTTCCATTTTTCCTTTTTGGGGAAGTGCTACTGTGATCGGAGGGAGGTGGGGGAGTGGGGGGGGGAGGGGGTAGGGGAGGGAGCTGCAAGCCGCACTTTAACACGCGAAGAGCCGCATGCAGCCCGCGAGTTTTTGAGTTAAAAATTTAGCACATTTGAAGTTCCTATTTCATAGAGGTCTCCCACATGCAATCATTGTGCATCTTTGATCACACATGTATTATGTACATGTGACAAAGAAAGGGCAAGTTTTTATCTTCATACCAAAGAAGTTGACCCTGAAAGGTTACACTTCCAGGCAACAGTGAAAGGACACCTGCACATAAAATTACCGAAATGTCATAACTTCCCTCCAATGTCCTGCCTTTTTCTTTTTTAATCACCTCACAGTAAAGCCACACTGTCGGTCCCTCCCTTTCGGAAAAGCCTGCACAGATTCCGAATCCCCAGCTAGAAAAATATTTCAAGGACACTCAGTCAACGCCATCTTTGCCCCGAATGGCCCAGCTGAAGAATGGACGAGGAAACAAGGCGCCCCGACCTTACTCGTTCTATACGCGCAGCCGCCTAATTTTCTGCTCGTTTGCATGCTCGAAAGACTAGTCTGGCTCGTTCACCTGTACTTGCACTTCCTGGAAAGCGGCAAACATGATGAAACTCTTTCCTAGAGAGCTCCTGCTGTACAGCTGTGCACGTCCCAGCTGGGTTGTGAGTCAAGGCATGTTTGCACATGTGGTGCAGTGAGAACTCTGCGCTGAAGAAATGTTGACTAGGAACTATGTTGGCACTCATTCAACGAGTTTCTGCTCAAGCCGTCTTACACATCTATCCCGTTGTGACGCCACTGTTATTTTTATGTCATTTGCCCGTACCGATTTTCCTGACCCTCCAAAATGCCCACCTGGAGACATCGTACCAATACATAAAACGGCGCTGTACTCAGACTACACCGGCGCATACACGAGGTCGGTACGAGAGAGCTGGCAGTCTGTTGCAAGATTTCGAACGTGCACATGAAGCCAAGGACGGAACGAGCGCTTGTTGGAAGCTGGACATTAAAAGGAGACAGCCCTTGTACCGGTGCTAACAACTAGCATTTTATATTAAGAGACTTCCTTGTTTGGGAAAAGTTCAAGGCTGCCCGAGGAACTCAAGAATACCAAAGCATAACAGGTATTTTTCCTTTCTGGGTTCACAACACCATACGGTTAGGGCCCTTTGAACCACGCCTATCTAAAACATCTTATAGCATAGTTAATCGAAAGCTGCCCACATTACTTGTTGATAAAAGACACCCAACTCCCCAAAACAGACTTGTATCTATCCTTGTCTGCATGCTATCCTAAAAAAATGATGTGGTGTTCTTTGGGAAGTGTTCACATGAGCCACACATTTTTAGTACTGAAAATCAGTGCAACAGACATGCCCATGAACATTTTGACGTGTACATAGGGCGACCATAATCCTCAAAGTAAACAATGGGGACATGGGAGGGCAGGGGCAGAAAAAAGGCTGTGCTTTACACAAACGTAAACACACATTTTTCCAAAGTTCTTCCTTGAGAACACAAGTGCTTTTCTTCCCCATTTTTTAGCAACGAGGAAGAAATGTTGCCAACCAAAGCAGTAGTCTCCTCTTCCGCACATACATTTATAACGTATTAGTAACAAAGTAACTATGAAGCTTACTACAGTAAGCTTCATAGTATGTTTATACTTATAATATTACATCTTCAACAAGTAAACATTCTTTTGGTTTTCTTCCATTTGCTTAGTACCGATTCCCACATGTTCCCACAAAAATGGGGCACGAGGCTTCGTTAGACCAAAAAGTCGGGATGGGAGAATTGAACCTCTTAAATAGGACTGTCCCAGTCAAAATGGGACGTCTGGTCACCCTATGTTTAAATTTAGGTAGAGTTCCAAAACAAGAAAGAGGAAATCCAGACAGCCCTCCAAGTTCTATCAGAAAAATTTAGAGAAACAAAATATCTGACGAAATATTTTACCATTGTCCTTACAGAAAGACCCCCCCCAAACAACCCAGCCACAAAACTCAAGTAGACAATCTAAAAGACGGCCCGACAACGAGAAAAAACAAAAAAAACCTTGCCAATGCCTAATACCGGGCCCCCCAACCGCAGATTCGTTTCCAAATTAATGATCCCCAAACAAGAACAGCAAGTAAAAATAAAAGTTGTCCTCCACTCCCATTTCCTGTGGATGTTTCAAGTGCACACCTGCTGATTCCCAGCCCATTACCCAGAGATAATGAGTAAAAAAAAACACAAAGAAAAGAAATCAAGGTGCAATTTGCCTTCTTTAAAACAAAGGAACTGCAGCCCCCAAGGAATTCTAAGCTAAACGACTGTCAAAACGTGGGGACGGCAAGTTTGCCGCAAAGCATAAAATGACCATCTGGTTCCCACGCGATAAATTAAAAGGTATTCAATGACATGCCGAGACTGCCGCAGAATCCTGTGAAGTTTGGAGCAAGCATCCCTTAGAGCAGTGGTCTCAAACTCATTTGAGCGTGGGGGCCACATAGCCTATACTGGGAAGGCCGGGGTCCAACGTTAGACGGGGGGGGGGGGGGGGGTGTCAAAATATATAAAAGAGAAGAGACCTTGTGCTCTATGCTTTTTGTAAACTGAGTTTTGCAAGTGACATTTTTAGATTTCATTTGTTTATATGACTACTTTGGGCCCGGACCTGATGCGATAACAAAAATAAAAAGGACACCACCCCGCCAACGTGCTCACATTTTTAATAGAACAAGAAAACAAGTACAATGTCGTTCCCGTTGCTTAACTCATTCAGGAATCAACCAAGCTCAACATGTCTCTAGAAAATTATCAGTTATTTGACAGTTCTTCCTTCCCTCAAGACTTCTATTACAACACCCATACTTGTCTTTTAATGCTGATTTTCTTTTTAAAGGCGAGAACCTCGAGCTCGTAGCTTTATCTTCGGCAGTTGCTCCTGCTGATCATGAGTTCGCGCAGCCGAGATGCATCCTTCAACAGAGAGCTCGCGCTTGCATCCTAGTAGCGGAATTGTTGTACATTACGAAATGTGGAAGCTAAAAGGTAAAGTGAAATTAAGGGTTTAATGAACGCAGATAAGTAAAAACTATGTCAATACATTAAAAGAGCGGAGTGACGTTTCGAGTGAAAATGAATCAGCGAGATGAGATCACAATGGCGCAAGCCATTTCTAGCGCTCGAGACATGGGAACCGGGACCCTTAGCCGGTTGCCTGAGGGCCGCGTGTCAGCGAGTCGCAGGCCGTATGCGGCCCGCGGGCCGCGTTGTTTGAGACCCCTGCCTTAGAGGCTACTTCATCGCACGAGGACGACAACAAGGCCTAGCGTGGTTTTTCTCAATGCTAACTTCACGGCAGTTCATTCTCCTCAACGTTCTGCAGTTTTTGAAAAGGGAAATATTGCGTGTGTGGCAACGATGACTCCGGTTCATTTCTATCGAGCATGCATGCTAGTTAAAGGGGTACTCTAGCGTTTTTTTTCATAGTCTCCAATTTGTTTGCTACATCCACCAACAAACATCACAAATAGTAGCCCAAATATTGGGCCAAAATAAAAAAAATTTCCCGAAGTTGTTGAATTTACAATTTCGATCCTCACCGTGTTCTTCAAAGTGGAACTCTCTACTGGCAACAATGAAAAAGTGACATCAGGGGAAGGCAGTGGTTCACTCTTTGGACTGTAGACATTTTTTCCAACTGATTACAAGCAGTTTCGTGGTGTCAAATGAATGTTTAGACTACCCTCTGGACCTGCAAGCCTGCCTTCCCCTGATGTCACGCCCCTGAAAAGCTCGGGTATATTATTTGAATGTTGGTTTTGGCACCTGCCAATTTCACAATAACTATTTTGAATATCGTTATACTAAATAGCATGCCGGAAAGAGTAAAGGCCGGTGATTACAAAAATATAGTTAGTTTGGGTAGCTGAATAAATCGCTGGAGTACTGCTTTAAGATTGGATCGAAAAATCTGTTCACTCACTTTTTAACATTATGCGCAACTGCTACCTAAAACCCGTAGAGAAGATGGTATGAAGAAGTCAAAAGGAACTTCTTTAAAGCCTCGAGTGGCAGACGACATTCTGCCAAGAAACTCTGCTTCTTCGTGGCGTTGAAGCCGTTGCTTAGCGAAAAACGTTGGCTGGCTCCTTTCAGCATCTATTTACAAGTAGCATCCGAGTCATGAGCCTGTAGATGACGCCAGTGAGAAAAAGCCCTCAAATGCTAGTCTCCAATATGCACATTGTAATGCAGTACAACTTAACACCCCCCCGCAAACCAATAAACTATAACAAAAACAAAAACAGAGGGGAACTAGCGAGCCTCAAATGTCTGCTGGTCAAACCAAATG